CGAGAGAGAGAGAGAGAGAGAGAGAGAGAGAGAGAGAGAGAAAGAGAGAGAGAGAAAGAGACAGACAGTGACAGAGAGAGAGGGAAAGAGAAAGAGGGAAAGAGGAGATAGGCAGGCAGACAGACAAACATAATAGACATACAGACATAGAAACAGGCAGACTTACAGAAAGACAAACAGATAAACAGACAGGCAAGCGGAGGGACATACAGATCAAGAAAGAGACGAGGAGGACGTAGGACCGTCTCGAAGGCGACAAGACAGTCCGATGGAGAAAAACAGTGAAGTACCCGTAAACTGGGGTGACTTTGGCCACTGTTCTGACTATCTGTTTTGATAACTTTTAAACCAACATAAAATAGTGCAAATTGTTTGATAAAGCCACGGGGAATGATTGTATGCACCGAATGAATGATTTTCTTTAACGCTAAATATCATGCTTTGATAATTACAGGACAATTTATATGGTGGCCAAGCCACCACGCGGTGGGGTGACTTTGGCCGGTCTATCAATTTTTTAAAATCATTGTAAAATAAGCAAACCCTGTACTGTGGTGAGATCGGCCACAGAAATTATTTTAAATGATTTTCCTGTGATTATTTGCAGCACCAGTGTATGATAATTGGTCACTTTTAAACACAAGGGGGCTATCCTGAAGAATGCTGTTTTGAGAAAATCGAAGGTAAAGTTTTTGCCCCTTGTTCAGTTTCTTTAAAAGACAAGAAGAGTTTTCTCGATAACCAAACAAATATACACATCACTGAGACTAAACTTCTCCTATAGATAGGGCAATGCCCATTTTTGGTGTAGGTCAAGATATCTGGAAACCCCCACGGTTAGCCCGCTTGTCCTTAAAAGCGACCTTTTCTACAATGGTCAACGTGTGTTGTTTATGAACATAACAATCACACTGTAGGCTATAGAAGTAAATAGAGAGTTAGACATACTTGATAAAAATTTTCCCTTCTTGGGAATTGAAGTTTTATCGAGTAAATAAGTCTTTCTCCTAGGATGTGTATCCCTTTTCAGCCCAGGCTGACCCTGACAGAAATGATCGAAGCCCATCTCTTAAATGATCTAAATCGTGTCGATGAAGACATCAGACACCTACAATCTATACATACTATAGAAAGTCCTTCACTTTCGCTGCCTAAAACTTCTCAACCACCTAACTTTCGAATTTGAAAAAAATAGTAGTTCAGAATCATTTAAAGGGAGCACAGTTTTATTGAGGAGTCTGAAGTCACTGTAGTTTAATTTTCAGTTTTTCATTAGTTTCGTTTTGATTTAATCTTAGAAAAGTTCCTCTTTTAAGACGCCATGTAAACCACTGAGGTTTCCATTCAATAGCTGTTCGCACTGCTTCCACACCTTTGAATTTCTGGAGTGTACCACCACGAAAGCCGAATAGAGAATCAATCTATACATCAATTAGAATATATTTGGCAACTTGGAAACACTTGTGACACCTTTCCCACGAAACTACGACTGCTACAGAGGTGAAAGTTGGAAAGTACCTGCTAGGGCTGTACCCCGGTAGCAAACCCGCTCGTGCTCACAAGCCCCTAGTTCAAGTCACAAGCCTCAAATCACTAGGTCAAGTCATCAAATCAAATCACCAGCATGATAAGTTGAGTCTAGCGCAAACTGTAACCTCCTTGGTCTAGTCTAAACTTCATGTCCACAGCAACTAGCAATCATCGAAGCCACTCGTGTCAGGCCCCCTCATCATCCCCACCCTGCTTGCAATCCGCGAAGCCACTTACGTCAGAAAAAGAGAGAGGTGGAGAGTGAGAAATCTCGCCGCTCGCCCACAGAGTCACTGCACGGCGTAGCGCTGTAGTTTATTCGATTAATCGAAGGCCTGCGCAAGCCTTAAGTCCCGTCCGCTGCCACAGGCCCCACAATTCACACAGTACTGATTTGCGCTAGACCTAGAGATTTGCCCCAAGACAAGCTCCAAAACTGACCTGCTGACTTGTACTGTCTCGATACACTGAGCGAGCGGCACGGGCTCGATGGCGTAGGACCGTCTCGAAGGTGACAAGACAGTCCGATGTGTTCAAACAGCAAGACAGTACTGCCCGCTGTGTGAACTTTGAACCGTGGAGGAAGGGAGAGGCTGGGCTTGTTTTGGTGCAAGTCGTAGAGAGCTGAAGTTATTTTTAACTTCCCGCCGTTGATCAGCTAAGCGAATGGATAAGTGAGAGGGAGCGTGGTATTGTAGTAACAGAGACCTAGATCTAGGTTTCTGGTAGTAATAAGAATAAGTTGACTTAGATTATCCTAAAATGGAAAACTCCAGGGGTCGTTGTGATTGGCTTTTGTATCGTATATATGTAACCTATTTAGTAGATGTGTTACACTCACAGTGACATAGTACAGAACATTTAGGAGACGGGCTAGGCCTACTTCAACCCAATGTCAGGGCCAACCTGGGCTGAGAGGGAACAACGAACGCCCCAGCAGAAAGACGGAGATTCTCAGTAAAAATTTCTCCCCATACGGGAATCGAACTGAGGTCTTTTGCGTGCGACGATGAAGCGCTTGGCTCGTGCACATTAAAAATAAACAGGCCTTAACATCATAAGAATAGCCGATCCAATATTAATTTTAAGTGCATTGAATAGAGCTTTTTGTTTTTTACAACCGAACTATGAAAAAACAACAACCGATCTTGCACTTTTGGTGCAAGCCTCTCAACGCAAATAACCAGAGAATCTTCTGTAATATGTACTGAGCCCACTGCCACGAGAGTTCGCGACGTCACGACACAGTACAGTAGGACTGTCCGCGAGTCACAACTCACCGGAAGTTCCCTCCGGTAGCAAACGGGAGGCAAATCAAACCACAAGCCTGCTCGCAAGACTCTAGCGCAAGACTCCTGCTGCTTTACAAGCCTTCGATTAACCGAGCAGAATTCAGCTCTAGTACCTGGAAAAGATAGATATTCCACTGAGAAACGAAACAAATCTGCTTAGCTGTAATCCTCAACGGAAGTGCCGGAAGTAATATTTTGCTAGGCGCATTTTGTTTTGGGAGTACATATATATATATATATATATATATATATATATATATATATATATATATATATATATATATATATCTATATCTATCTAGACCTTCTAATTTTTTGCATCTCTCAAGATTTATTGCTCCATTTCAGTAGAGTGTAAATATAGCAGGCCAATGACTTTCAGTTGATGCAAATGCACCGATCATTCCTTTCATCGAAATCGGTCCAGCTAGTATAAAAATAAGTTTTAACCACATTTTAAAAGAAGTGATAACTTTGAAACCTCGATCAGCAAGTCAATGCTAAGATGTCGTAATCAATGCTTGACTACACACTACATTCCTTAAATCATTACTTTAGGATAATAAATACAGTAAATAAAGACATATTCAAGACTTGGAAATTGTCTTGTAACAGGTGAAGTAACCTATATCTTTTTAAAGGTATCGGGAAATTCGCTAATCGGAATGAGCATAATTTTTTTCCCTTTTTAGGGGAATAAAAATGTTGGGGAGTTGTACATGGCAGACCCAGTAACAGGTGGTCAAAGTCACCACATTTTGGCTCGTGGCGACTGGGATACTCAAAGAGTCAGCACGTAGGAGTCTAGTTCGTCAAGAGAAATTAACCAAGTGTCAGAGTTCTTATAATTAATTTTGTTGCGCCATGATCACACCATCTGCATACAGTACATCTATACACATGTCATTTTATCATAATAATGCAAACTTTCATGAATTGGGAAATGTTTTTATTCACTTTTAGACATTATTTAAAACAAACAAAAACCCACCAATGCATTACCAAGGTAAGGGGTTGTGGGCAACATTTCTGCTGGCAATGACTGGGTTGTTCATAACATACTTGAAGGGGGTCATCTATACCTTGGGATTTCCAGTTACAATCATATCTTCGATTGCGCACTCGTCGCTACCTTTCGCAATCTTGAAGAATCCTGAAATGGTAAAAAAACAACAACCCCAAAGGAATGAAACTCTTACAAAAGCAATGTGTGTGGCAGGAAGCCCAACACTGCAATACACTTTATAAGATATCGGGATGATCAGTTGTTTACATTATTATTGTCATTATTATTCTTACCGTTACTAAAACGACCCCCAGTTCTGTTTAAGACTTTGCAGACTGTATAAAAGCATTTCTTCCTCTTTACTGTATTAAATCTATAAAATCATTTCTTTTTCTCTTCGTCCGATTTCCTGTTCCACTGTTTTCTCTATCGTATAACTTGTCCATTTTTTTGTCTCCTCCTTTAATGTCAAGACAAAATCAATCTTTCTCGTGCAGTTGCGAGCGCCGTAAAACACTTACCAAGAAAAAAATATCCTTCTCTTCTAGAAGTCGAACCTCGGTGTCCAACAAGTCAGTTGGGTAAACTTACCATCATGGCAACCCACGGAACACTCTCTTTTCAGCAAAATTATATGTATGAGGTATGTCACAAAATAGTTTAATGAAACATGGATCTAGATTTATTCATCACAAGGAAACGTTCAGGAGCTGTGAAATAATATGCGGAAAAAGTGAATTGCTGCGTTCATTTGCGTGTCCTCCCGGACATTATTATCAATTGACTCGAGTGTGGAGAACTCAGCTTGCAGGCTTCTCTGTTTGGCTTCAGGATTCGTTTTTGATTCGTGCAGTTTGCTCTCTGTGATTGCTATTGCTAGATCTACTCTTCACCTCGGTCAGTCTAGAGAAAGTCTATCTCTGGTCAATGGAATAATACTGAAGCCCCTCAAAGAAACTTTGTAGGTGATGCAACCATTTCAGTCTGCTTGGGTACTTTATACGTCTGAGACAAAAAAACAACTAATTTTTGTTATGTTGCTCCTATCAAGAATTATGAAAAGCAAGAAAAAATTGTTTAGCCTTGACCATCGCATTAAACAGTATTTTGGTGATGTTTACAGGTGCATCTTTGTGAGAGCTTTGAGAGGGTATAAAAATTGAACACTTTCAAAATCTGGACGTCCGTGGATTGTTTGCTACAACGACGCGACGATTTGCAGGGTGTTTTTATAACGCTTTTTAGCTGAACCAACTTTCCACTTCTCCAAGGACAATTCACAATAGAAAACACTACCACTTGGTCTTGACATAGATCTGCGTAATGAATTGTTCGCTGGACTGTGGAATCAAACGTTGCGATATGTTAGGCTCTACACAACAACATAATTTGTTCGGCAAACAGTACATTAAAGATGATACACGACACAGACGTCGTGTATTTGAACAAATAGGCCCTTTTGTACAGTGTGGGTTCGTTAGAGTTGTGCCTTTTCTTGGAATTTCCCACTATTTCCCAAAAATGTCTCCTATTTAAAACCAAATTATCTTTGATTGTGAAAGTCAAATACATTATACATTACTTGCTCGGTGCCTGCAATTATCTACACAACATCCTCACATTATTTGTATAACGAACACTCAAACTCAACCAAATTGAAGGCCTGGCCCGACGACTTCGTTGAATCCAAGTTCTACTGTACTACAATGAGATCCTGAATCAGACATTCTTACAGCATGGCCAGCCCAGAAAAAAATTTATTGAAAGATAGCAGTACGGAGGAGTTAGGAGTAGCAATGACCTCAGCTTCAGGGGTAATGACACTGCGAGAACATGACGTATTTCCTTGACCAACTGCTCACCCTTATCTCCCCAGTCCTCGTTCCAGGAGTTAGTGACCAGCCAGTAGTCCTGTCCGTTCTCCACACCGTAGCCCAAGATCTTGACAGCGTGAGCGCCCAGGTACTTACCAGTGGTGTGCTTGTAAACGCCTGGAGATTAGAAAAATAAATAATGATGGTCTGTACAGTTAGATGAGTGTATATAAATATATATA